GGGTGTGTTATCTTGTGTCATCTACGGTATGTAGCACTTTTGCCTGTCGCTGCGTTGTGTGTGTTTTATTATTATCATCGACCGCGCTAACCGGCTGACTTGTGCTGCCGTCTTTGTTGTAGGCTCTTTGTCTCCGGGGACGGGGAGAAGGGTCGTTTCTGTTTTCGTTGCTACTTGTTCTGTTTTGGCGTCAACCAGATGGATACACTGGCTCCGGTTGATGCCGTCGCTAATGCTGCTGCTGCTTCGTGTCCCTGTCGCACGCATGGTGTCTTTGTCTGTTCGTTTGTTGCGTGCTGCTGCCGACGGTTGTCATGGTTTGGCATCCATACCCACACCTTCAACCAAAACCGTAGAGGGACTAATATACATATCATATTGACATGTGCTTTTTTCCCGCTCCGCTCCTCTTACGTGTCACCCGCAGGAGAGAACTAAAGGCAAAGAAGGAGCTCGAAGCAGCAGCCTCCGACCCGCCGCCCATGACGGCCGCCCCCAGCACCCGCGGCGGGCGCGGGATGCGCGGCGGGGGAATGATCTCGTCCCGGCAGTCGATCAGACCCTCCTCGAGAGGCGGTTTCGGTGGTGCAAGGGGGAGAGGTCTCGGGCGCGGGGGCCTCAGCGGGCGCGGGGGAGGGGCCAGCGAGCTCAAGCCGTTGGGTCTGGGCGTGAATGAAGACCTGATCAACCGCAGGAGGCTCATCATGGCGGGCCCGGAGGACGGCTCCGACGACGAGAGCGATGACGACTGGGACGAGCAGGGGGCGGTGAGTGGTTTCTGATGGAGGTGGAGGGCCAATTCTGGTGGGTGTGCTCGTCGTGGGGTGGGTGTGGTTGTGACGCCTTGTCTCGACCCGCGTGGGTGTGTGGTTTTCGAAATGCGCCTGAGTTGTTAACTTGGAAGGTTTAATGAGAAAAAAGGGGAAGTTTGTTGTTTTGTCTGTCTAGTCCGGGCGTGTGCCTCCCTCCCTGTTCCTCCTCCCTCCGTCTGTGGTATCTGGAAGAGACCCTCGTGTAGCGTTCGCTTATCTTTCAGCGTCCTCCTGCCCGCAAGTAGGCATTGTACGTGAGTGCCAGTCCATCCACCCCTCGGAATGAGCACCCTATTTTTTCAGCTCTTTTGTCTCTCGCCATATCTTCTGCACGTGAAAGTCAGGCTCGTGACGAAGGAGTCGAACAACGCACGTGTCCTCTAGAAGCCCTCTCAATTCCTTGACCCTCCCCTATACGCGCACGCCTACCTTCCGCGTTGTCCGGGCGATAATTTTGTATGACAGGTCCAAGACGAGTACGAGCGTATCAAGACGCAGCGTGTTAACGAGGCGGTCATGTTCAGGAAGATCAGCAAGCTCAGGGACCCCTCTAAGCGGTGAGTGCGTCTCTCACTCCGTCGGGGTGTGTTAAAACGAGCTTCTTGGGGAAAGCCAGCTGTGCTCTCCCGTACGTCTTGTTTTGCGGCTATTTTCATCACTGCTTTGTTTTGGAGCCCCAGCGCGTCCGTTTCTACTTTGACTAGAGTTATTGAGGAAGAAATAAATGAAATGGACTGGTGAAGACATTATGGTATTTTTCACTTTCGTGCGTATCCTGGTTTTCTAAATACGCAAGTAAGCCGGTTGGCGCTGTTGATGCTGCAACAGGAGTTAGGAAATGACGCACCCACGCAAACGCGTTTGGAGTCTCTTTGTAGCGTCATGCCGTAGCACCACAACAATGACGTGTCCGGTCACCCCTCGCCTTGATGCAAAATATTGGGCTAAGAAAGTTACACCACACATGCCACACATGTTGCGATACCCACGAGGCACTTTTTACCAGTTGGTTTCTTTTTGCGCAGAAGAGCGGTCTGGCACGCACAAGCACGATGCTCAAATCTCCTCGTCCTCCCGCCCCCCCCCCCCCCAATCACAAACAAACAGCCATAAGAATACATCG